CGCAGCGCTGGCCGGCACCGAGCGCCAGCCGGGGGCAGCGGCTCTGCGCCCTTCGCCTCCCTCCACCCGCTTCTCTTTCTCCTTCCCTTTCGCCGCCAGCCGCCGAACTGATTAGACCTTGATTGCGGCCAGAAAGCCGGCAGATTGTGCACCTGTTTATCCGCCCGAGCCGGGCTCATCAGCAGCAGATCAGCTGCTTCCTGGCTCCGCGTTGGGCCTGAGCCTGCCTGATTAATGAAGTTTATTGGGAGCTGTTAAAAGCATTAACTGGAGAGAATCTGAGCAATTCGTCATATTTAAAGGATGGAAATTAAATCTTGCTATGCAAATGAGAAAAAAAAATTTAAGCATCTTTAGGGGCTGTGGTCTGCACGTCATTTTTCTTTAAAATCCTGCTCGGGAGAGGGGAGTTACAAATGAGGCATCCTTTGGACTTCAAAGTTACCAAAGAAATCCCATCCCAATTTATCTGGAGTTATAAAATCCTCAGAAGGAAATTCCCTTGCATATTCTGACCCCCAGTGCAAAGGGATGTTTAAGCCAATCATTAAGCCAACTCTGGCAAGAAACCCAAATTTTTAAAATTAAAATCAATGCATCCACCTACAGAATGAGATTTGGGGTTTAATTTTTGTCGGGGAGGCGAAATGATCGGCTGGCGGAGAAGTCAGAGAAACGCCCGAGCAAGGAGCGAATGTGTCCGGACAGAAAGATCGGTGGCCTGCTCACACCCTGATAAATCAACATGCTCCTGCCCTGGCTCAGAAAGTGTCCCCCTCCGAGCTCTGCGCGTAGCCATGTGGCCGACAGGCGGGGGAGGGCGTGGTTAAGAAAACAGACAAGAAAATGAGGAAAAGATAATCAAGTGAAAAGAGGGAAAAGAGTTTGGAAATGGAGCACAGAACCCAGAACTTGTCAAATACAGAACCGAGTTAGTTTGGGTCCGGCTGGTGATGGCGCCGTTTATTAATGATTGCAATGACAGACGTGAAACGTGGGTGATGTTAGTGCGTTAATTCTTCCTGAAAGGAGAGAAATCTTTTCTACAACAGTAACAAAAGTCCACACAGAGAAGCCTTTCCATTCCAAGACAATGCTGAAGATAAACACATGAAATTGGTCAATGCCCTGCTTTTTGTAGTGGGAAGCTTATTATAATGCAAATGTTTCAAGATTAATTTTTTAAATCTTTTACATCATTTTTTCTAAGGACATTTTAAGTCAGCACAGTTTGAATTGTCTAATCATGGTATTATATATATGTTAAAGGACTTTCTTATCATTTCAGCAACACAGACTTATGGAGTATATAAATTCTAAACTCTGAATCGGAGGCAGAAAGGACAGGTAAATTTAGTACAAAATTAACTGATTTTCAAAAGAAAATTTATCTCATACTGTCACCTCCTGTAGATTCAGTTTTAAAGTACTTGATAGATTTTCATGGTTATTTTCATTCATATTACCCTTCCAGATTTTCTATTTAATTTTAAATTTATTTTAAAGTTAAAGCATTGAGATTTATTAATGTATCTTTCTGAAAAAAGAAATCACCACTGAAGGAAAGTAACAGAAATTATTTATATTAATTTTTTTGTTTTAAAGGTTTAGGAAAATTTCCAATTTACAGACTTTTTGCCTTTGATAAGTATGGAACTAAAATGTGTAAATTCGAAGTCTAAAAAAATGCAGTCACTCTCCAGAAGCATAGACAACCTTGAAAGATTGTTTGTCTTAAACTTGAAAATTCTTTGTGTTATTTGTATCCTGTCCTCTAAAAAATTCCAACATGTTCTAAATCTTAATCACAAAAATCCCCTTCTGTTTCAATGAACATTATACATCACACTGACTTATAAAATTACTTTGTAACAAGTGAACTATAAACATTTTATTTAAATGTTATAATCACTGTAAAAATTTGGTTAGTGACTAAAATTCTTGATAAATGTCGCTGTCACTGTCATTTGGATCATTTAAAATAATACAGCCTATGTTCATATTCCCATTGTTAAGGGATCATTCCATAAAAATGATACATGTTAATTTTAATTCATTTTGTTCAAGGAAATAAGCTTTCAAAAATAACTGTTTGTCCTATTATTTTGAAGTAACCAGAAGAAAAACAATTCTCCTTGTGTCAACAATTGATCATTCACTAAAACTTGTTTTAATATTTGATTTAGTCATTAAATTGCAGAGACAAGTGAAGTCTTGGAGGATAGTTTAAACATACATTTTGCTATGAACACATTTTAGAAAATATTTTGTGTCTCATCTTTAGAATTAAAACCTTCAAAATGATCTTCTGCTGATCTTAGAATACATGTCATCCTGGTAACATATGTCTAGCGGTTCATTTAAAATATGGATATTTTTGTACAAAGATAATTTGCCATTAGAGTGCATGGTCGCAGAGGGTGGGTTTCTGAGCCACTGACTAATGGTATCAGTCACTGTCATTTGTATTTCTGATCTCTAGAGTGTTATGGATGAAGAAGGTCAAAGTGGTCCCTGATGATCAGAAACTTTTTAAACAGTCTGGAAAAGTTAATGAATTAGATTTCCCTGCACTCGAAGATATTAGGATTGGGAGATCAAGATTCCCATCAGCCAGATCAAGAATATTCACAGTTGACAGGAAACTCAAAGTATCTTTCTTCCTCCTGAGAAACAGCTTCCCACAGCTGAGAAGCAGCAGTCGTGGGAATGATACGTTAGCCTACTGGAGATGCTTCCTAGGCAGGGAAAGCTAAGCATAATCGCCTATTCTTGTTGTATTTATCTCATATAGCTCTTGATAAGTGCTTGAAAATGCTTCTGGTGAAAATATCCCTTTTACTTTAGAATGCATGTTTTCACAGTGGGTAAAATTACAGTGTTCATGAACCATAATTATTGTTTTTATACATCTTAGCAACATTAATGAAAATTCAGTGAAAAGTATGTAACTAGAAGAAATGTACAACCCTCCCCTTTCTCCTTTAACAGGATGTAAATGATTTATGAAATAAAAATGCGACTTCAGTTTGCTTTTCTTTATCTTCTCAAATGTTTGAAATATTAGAATATAAAAGGAACTCCCCTGTCTTCTTTAGGACCTACTGCGTTTTTATCTAACAAAGATGGAAAGTGTTCTGTTGCATTAGTTAACATGATCAATTGGTTTTGAAGATATATTTTTTCCTGTGTTTTAGCAGGACAGTGTGGAGTAATTCTTTATACCCTATGGCATATACCTTAAAAGACAAGATTGTCCCAGTGTGCAGCAAGTACAGTTCCTGTGCTGCTTTCCTTGCATTGGGTTCTTAGAATGGATAACTTCCGGGTAGAAAGTGAGTTAAAGGTTAGAATTTATCGTTCAAAACTGTGTGGGTTCCCTCACTACTGCAAAATTATTAATGGAACAGTATGTACATGAAGATAACAGGGTGAATAACATTTTCATTCTCAACTATGCAAATGTTGTCCAAAATGAAATATGTTTCATTGTTTTATATTTCCAGGGCAACCTTTTGAGTCCAGAAAGGTCAGTAACAGGATTTTGCTTTGATACATGATATGACCTAATTCTTTCATGTGTTGCAAAATCCAAAGGAGTTAGAGGGTGCCTCTTTCTTTTTTTCTTTGATATCAGTCTGCATGGCAACAGCTAAAATGCCTCCCTGTAATTGTAATGAGATCAGTGGGTTTTAAGTATGGAATGAATCAATTATTGTAAGCAGAGGCCCTGCGTAAATCACGGAAAGCCAAACCAATCTCAGGATCATAAAATGAATCTTTGACACGTATTCAAGGTTTCAGCAGAGTCTCAATACTGAGGATGGAGGATCTGCTATCAAGAGAAAGCAAAGTTTTATTCACTAATACATACGTGGGTCTTCATTAAAAGGGCTCAGACTGAGGAAGCTGCTTCTTAAAGGAGATCTTGCAACATTAAAGAGCCAAGTCAGTGACAAATACGTTCAGCTGAAGCTCGAAGGAGAAGGGCTCCAAAAGCATATTTCACGAATTCAGTGAGGGATAACTGTCAGTGCTGAAAGATAGCAAAATGGTCATTTACATTTTGACTTTAATAAAACTCTTCAAATCATCACCAATCAGAGGATGATCACACAAGAAATCAACAACACCCGTTGTCGGTCTTAGCAGTTCTAAGAACTAGGTATTTTTCAACTGGGGAGGGCAGTGGCATGTAAAGTGTCCACAGAGTGAAGACCACAATGCCAATCCGTTATTTTCACACAGTGCCAACAGCCTGGCAGCTTCTAAAGAACAGAAAGATTAGGTTGAAAGAAAATAGCTCTCTCTTGCATACTTTCCAACACCTACCTTTTTCTTTTCTTTACGTTCTTTTCCCTCCCTTTAAGATAATCCTCTCATGGTAATTCCCTGTAACTAGTTGCTTAATGACTTTATAATTTCCCGTCATGTGGCAAGCCAGACACAAAAAGCATAGCAGTGTGTTCACGAGTCCTTAGCAGTCTGCTAGCATGCTTTAGTTCTTAGGATTGGGTGGATGAGTTTTTAAAAAACATTTTGAGTGATTCAAACAGGGTAAGCTTTTTGCTCTATCCTATTCAACTTACATATTCTTGAAATTACTTGCCCTGTGTGTCACATATTAATTAAGCTAGTATTAAAATTTTCATATACTTATTGACTGCAAGACCAAAGTTCTTTTATTATTTTTATGTAGTGTTCCTTGTGCTGTATTTTTATCAATGAATTTTAGGGGATATGCACAGTAATAAAAATATGATTTTTTAAAAATTCAATATTTACAATACCAGAAATGTAACTCAGTGAAAGAAGGAGTTTATGTTTTCATAACATGTTTGCATTTAGGTCTCAACATATCCAAGTCAAGAAGAAAGTACAATATTCTCATGTTTCCTTTTCTACAGTTAAAATATGTAAAATTTCATATAATACCTCACATTATGTTTGTTTCTCATATCAGAAAATTAAAAAATTTTCGCATAACTCTTACAGACGTTTGTAAGAAAATAACACACATGGAATAGATTTATGTGAAAAATATAATACTTAAATAATTTCCCATCTGTTTTTATTTTGCTAGAATCAAAAACATATTTTGCTATTCTTAAATGTATCTGTTTCTCAATTTTTTGTTTAAAACATAGTCAGATTGTTTGGCATATATTTAAAGAGTTTTATATTAAGAAGAGATCTATAACTGATGTAGAGGTAAAAATATACATATAATATATGTGAGCGAGAGCTTACATGTAAAGCTCACATGCGTGAACTGCAAATTGGAATTAAATAAATACAAACTGTAAACGTATACCTGAAAGAGCTACAATCAATGTCTTCGGATTCTTGTTCAGACACAAAATTTTAAGTGGCGTGCTGGAATTGAAAATAGAAATGATTTCACAATGGAAAGCATTTATAAGTAAAAAAGCAGGGTCGAGAGTGCTGGGAAGGAGTATAAATTTGCAGTGAAAGTCTGACACCTGGTGGTCAAAAGAAGCACACGCCAAGAATGAGTGCCTTAGACCCCTCCTGGCTTTTATAAAATGAAAATTAAATTAAAAATTAGATGAAAGTCTTTTCTTTTAAAAGTTTGCATAAGACTTTCACTTTCTCCTAGTAATTTTGCTAAGAGTCCTCTTTCAAATTTATATTTTGTGAATGTTTGTGCTAAAGATACCTTTTCTAGGGGATCAAAACATTGGCCAGAATATATTTTTAATTGAATATGTATTTAGAAATTATTTAATAGTAATAAAATTAATCCACAGATAAATAGCTCAATATTATGTTCTTAGAATCAAAACAAACCCTTTTGAAATCTGGGTAAACAAATTTAAAAAATAAAAATTTAGAAATTTAACCTTATTTTTTTGCCAGAAAGGCAAGAAGAACAACAAAGTCTGTAAATAGGAAGGGTGGAGGGGTTGAAGGGACAGCAGGGTAAGGGGGAAAAATAAGAATCAAGATACATTATGTAAAGGTACAAATCTCCAATGGTGAATGTCATTAAACTGTATGCCTAAAATGTACCAGTAAATTTTTTTTTTTAATTTAAATATTTAAGTTGAAAGATAATCTTAGTTGGTGGCAAACATTAAAAGAATAATTCAGGAAATAAAATTTTTGATAATTACCTTCTTGACCCATAACACTATTTTTCATTAAAATGGTCCAAAGGAATCACAAAGATGATACAGCAGATCGACAGCCTATCACAGTGCACCAAATCCTAGGTGGACCCCAACATGCTTAAATGATGCAGTAAATTACAATGGCAGTTTTTAAATTACTGAAGTTATTTGCTAAAGTAGACTTTTCTTAGGCATTTCATCTTATTTTAACATGCTCCTCAAATAACTCTTCAAAATATCACTATGGGAGAATAATAGAAAGCCTTTTTTTGCCCTTAAATTTCAGAGTACAAAATGAGAAATTAATGCAGGCCTTCACATCTCCTGCATATTCACAGAAAGATGAAGTCGCCAGAGGGGAAAGCTGTTGCATAATTTATGTGCCTGGAAGATTTGACCAAACAGTGGTGAAAATTGTTGACAATTTTAAAACGAATCCTGGTAATTGCCTAAAATCCCCCTTTTGCTTCAGGCACTAACTGCATTTGTTGTTTCTGTTTGTGGCTCTTTGACGTCTTCATTGAAGGCGGAGTGACACTCAGGATGGATTCGGGCTGTGTGAAAAGGCTGCTGTCACCACAGGACCTGCAAATCCTTCTGCGGGGCAGAGGTGCCCAGTGTCCAGATCAGCATCTGGCTGCGCCTCGTTTCCCGGGAGCCTTCGACTGAAGCAGGGTCTGGGGTGGACGGTCAGAGTGCAGTGAGCATTGGGTCTTCCTCATTTAGGCCACAGGGCTGGAGCAGCAGGTTGGATTCTCCTTGTCTTATGAATTTTTCGAGTGAACCTTGAGGAGGACACTTCAGGACACCTCGACACTTCAGGAACCTCCGGGTTCCCGCAGGCACACACAGGAGAACGCTCTTAATGAGTTCAGGTAAAGTTGTATTTCCACAAATGAAGACACTGGCTTTGCTCTGTTCTTAAAGCCCAAGTTCTTTCAAGAAAGCTTAGCCAGTAATAAAAACTATCATTTTTTTTTCCTCTAGAGACATTTCTTCTTATTTTTATGTTAAATGATTTTTGATGTGATTACTTTATGTTTCAAAAACTCTAATGCCTTTGAAGGTAGAGATTCTTTCTTGGCAAAGAGTTGTAAGTAGCACAAAGTAACTTCAAAGCCCTTTAGAATAAAAATAATTCTATATATCCATTAATAAATGTTGGTGTTCATTTTCCTCATGAAATAGTTGGGCTTCTCTCTCTCATAAAAATGAATATGCGCTCACTGTGAAACATGCTCTTTGAGAGCCCTTTAGACAGGGGCTCTGTGTTCTCCTTTCATACGCTCTGGCCCACCCCAGGAGGAGTGCTTTCCCTCCTCAAAGATCTGATGGAAGACGCAGCCTCAGCATTTGCTGGCCTTTCACTTCTCACTGCCTGGTGCATAATAAAACAGCAATAATTATTTTTTGAATAAATAATGAATGAATCAAAAAATGTTTTTCTTTTTCCCAGTATTGGCAATTTTTTCCAAAAGAGGGCATAAAATTGCAATACCTATGAGTCTATCCATGTTTGAGAGAAAATAGTAAGATAAACAACTGAACACACACACAGTGTGCAGTGGCTCGGAAGATTCTTTGGACAAAGAAGCAGAGGACGATAGAGAGAGGAGGAGGAGATGAGAATCATATTCCACGAGCTTCACAGTTAACCAATCCTTGGGGTCCGCCCTACGGAAGTCAGTACACAAAGCAGGTAGCGTTTTAGCCCCTAATATCTGCCTTGGTAACATTTATACAGTGAGCTGCCATCTGGTGCATGGACATTTGCACATATTAATGGGCCCTGAGCTTGCTATGATACATTTTACATGCAGAAGCATGTCAGAAATTTGTAACAGATCAAATACGTGGGCCCATAACAAGCACTCCATTATCATATTAGCCATCAGCAGAACATTTGGTTTTCTGGTGCTTTCATTGTGAAATTATATATTTTTAGAGGCCTCTTAATTTTCACATCTTGCCTGATCACCCTGAGACACATCATTTTTCCCCTTTCAGTATGACCTGCAGTATCAACCTCCATCCTCTCATCTGCTATCAGCAACCCAGCTCTCACTACTGAACTATTCACCAGTGACACAGCCGTCTCCCTTTAGTGGTCACCACTTCTCCAGGCCAGCACGTGCAGTGCATCTCCCTTCCTCCCCGGTAGCCACACCGTACACAGATCCAGGGTTTGTGGGGGCAGTGTTAACTTTCACAGGCTGCACTAACTATTCCCCGGCTACATGTCTCTCCCCGAATACTAATGCGTGACACGTATTCTTGTTTGTCAGTTTACGCAGTGTCATTTGCTCCCCACAACACTCTGTACATTAATCTACTTGCTCATTTCTATCAAAATTCACCGCATTTTCTTTTACTCCCTTCCCACCTGTATTCCTCATTAGACCCAAGCTCTCTAAGGATGGGGCCCCATCCCCTTGCTCATACTGTGTACCCAGTGGCTACAGATATGTCGGTATACGGAAGGAGCTTAGTAAGTGTTCGTGTTCCCTTACCCATTCTCCTTGGAGCTGATACCTTCCCAGGATTAGAAGGGAATTTAATTCAGTCTCACAGCCCATCCAGAACCGGAGACTATGGAGTAAAGACACTCACGTGGACTGACCTGTATTCTTGTGACAAGCGATTCACTGGTTATTGACACAGCCCAGGCCATGTTTGGAAAGTTTCACCTACTAACGAGGTCTCGTGGTGGCTCGAAACATCCTTTCTTGGTACATTCACTGCAAGTCCTAGATTTGCTCCATAGAACAAAAACGTCAATTTTTGTATAATAATGTACATGCACACACACACACACACACACACACACACACACACACACTTAGTTTCCATTTTGCAAAAACCACCCCTGACATTGCTCGTTCACTTAGCCAGGTGTGCCTCGTAGAATCAGTCTCTGCTTTCATGCCCATGTAGCCAAATGGGAGAGACAGATATCAAACACATCACTCCTGTAACACATATTAAGCGCAATGTACGAATATGAAGCACAAGATCAAAAGAGAGGCAGGGCCACAGTGCAGTAACTACCACGGGTGGACAATGCCTGGCCCTGTGCACCTCGGTCCCTCTCCGCACCCCAAGAAAGGGTGCTTCTTCCCGCACTGAGGGACACTTTGGAAATCACATTTGTGGTTTATTCAAATCATGATGACAAGGTAGACCTGGCCTTCACAGAGTCACAAGGCAAAAGGAGACAACAAGAGAACTTTTACTTTTATACCAAATGGGACATTATGAGATTGCTCAAAAATGTGGAAGGTATTGATATAAACAGCAAGCATCAGTTAAGGTCATCTCAAAGGGAAGAGAGAGAAAAGCTTGCCGCACCATAGCTCCAGCAAGGAAATATTATCTCAGAGTCAAGGACCTACGACTCGGCCTCATTTGTGGCTTGGCTTTGTACTTACGCAGGCAGCAAGGCGGCCTCGACATCTGGCGTCACACCCAGGCTCAGCACTGTCCAGGAAAAGCTGTTCCATGTGAAGTCGCACTGTAAAACGGAAGACTCTTCAACACTTCCCATTCGTTCATTCCAGTGTTTTATTGGGCCCCTGATACATGCCAAAAATACTCTGGGTGCTTGGAATGCAGCTAGGAGCCAAACAACACACTTCTCCTTGAATCCAATGGACGTCAGTGGGTCGCAGTAAAAGAAGAATCAGACCAGTATGACACCAAGACCTAATCCACGGTATTGTACGGAAAATGTCACACTCCTAGAGTCATGTAGGGAAGAGCTAATCACCTAAATAAATCACTGTTTTTCTGGCAAAATTTCAATGGGGAAAGGATACCCAGGAGATAGTTGGCAGTGTCTGCAAACAGAGCCTTTAGGAATAGATAGTTACTCAGTTTGGAAGTGCCTTATACACAATACTAGGTTAAATAGTCAGAATTCTTATATCAAGTGATAAAAATTGTATTTAAAAAAATATGTATATTTTAAAAGACCAGGGCCGGGGATTTACCTCAGTGGTACTGCACCCGCCTCACAAGCGCAAGGTTCTGAGTTCAATCCCCAGTACCAGAAAAATAAAATAAAAATTTAAAAAAATTAAAAGACCAAATGGCAACACCAAAATATCTATAATTCAGATAATAGAACTATTTGTGGGTCTGTATATTTTGTTTTCTCTCTTTCCTCTACAACTTCATTAAATGGTCTTGTTCTTCTTTAAATTGTTTTTTAAATGAAAAATACGTTCTTGTTAACTCAGCCTGGATGTGTCATCTACTGCTTGGTCTGGATCAAATATATTTATGATACCTGAAGTTCCCAGCCCCAGATCAAAGCAATGACATCGGTAACACTGACTTTTTCAGTACCTTCAGTTCAACCAAGAGCTAAGAATTTTAAATAAAGAACTGCCTTGTCAGAAAATCTTATGGTCAGAAAATCTTAATAATCGGGAATATTTAAGATTTTAGATTTTAAATAATGATCAACGTTTGAGATCATTATAAATCCACTAAATATATACAGCATTCATATATATTCTTATAAACATATTTAGTTTGGGTTAATGTTGTTAACATACCTCGTGCTTGAATTAATTATGATTTACCAGAAAATCCACCTTGCTTTGAAGAGTAGGCTGTGGCATTAGTATTTGGAAATGCAAAAGGACCTAGAAAAGCCTGTGTGTGATTAAGTCAGCAGAATCTAACACTTTTTTTTGTTTTGATTTTTTTTGTTTTCAGCACTGGCGGTTGAACCCAGGGCCTTCACTGGATCTCCAACCCTACTCCTTTCTTTATTTATTTTTAAAATTTTGAATCATGCTCATGCTAAGTTGATAAATTGCTCAGGATGGGCTGGAACTTGTGACCCTCCTGCCTCCGCTTCCCAGAGTGCTGGGATTACAGTCTGGCATCATTTCGCCATTAAAATGGCATCCCATCTTCCATGTACTGGATTCGATGTCAAGCTGTTAATGTAGTCAAGGAAGATGAGCTATTCAGCAATTTTCCTGGTGAAGGCAGAGTCGAATCTCCTACCCAGGGTCAGCAGACAATCACTGTGTGTCTGATGGACCCAGACGAGGTGCCCTGTGAGCTGCTGCCCTGGAGAACCATCTCAGTGCTACTGTGAGTCCTGCTCTTTCCTATCAGTCTGACACCTAAACGGCTCGGAGCCAATAGGATTCTTCATCAATCACCTTGATCACAACGACTGCACGGACAGGGGATGTAAGGAGCTGATCTGCTGTGTCACTGGGGGCTGTGTGATGAACACTGCTCTTTTTTCCTTTCTTCCTTTTCTTGGGGGCATCTCATCCATCAACCAAACTACACAACAATTGAGACCTAAAACTAAAAAACACATATAACAGCACTTGGTTAAGTGATCGAGCACTGCCAGACCCACAAGGACTCAGGCTAACCATTCAACTTGATTTAAGGAATCCGTGCAGCGGTGAGACACCCTCGTAAACAAACAGCAGGCGGCATCAGGCGGCAGGAGCTACAGTTTGGTATTATATAGAGACGGTAAGGTCCCACGTTACAGGATTGTCTCAAAAATCAAGTCAAAGACGTTGAAACCTTTGAATAAATGACATTCAGAACTAATCAAAAATTGCATTCTTAGGAAGTGAATGCAGGGCGTACGCACGGAGGTGAGTTGCAGAACGTCGTCTGGATGCAGGAGTCTGTGGCCTAGGTGGTGGGTGCAAAGTGTGAGCCGGCAGCGCCGTGGCACCCTCAGAGTGAGGCCTGGCCGAGAGACGGACACAGGGCCGCGTCCTCAGCAGGCCCTGGGACACCCGAGTGTTCAAAGGCCCTGGAGTCCTGGAGGCCGCAGCTCCCTCCAAATTTAAAGGTGCCTCTTTTGTCTTTTACACGAGTGAACATGATTAAACTCCTGCGGTTGTGCTGAATTTCCAGGATTGTAAAAAAGTCAAGGGAATTAAAAAGGTCACTGCAGTATTTCATCTCACTGACAAATCCATGGAAAGATGTTACAGGAGGACACAGAAAATTACTCAAAGGGAAGCACGGTGCCCAAATTCTGGAAAATGTGGGTGGAAAACCTAGATGGGAACAAGGAACCCTTCAAACGCATGGGGATAAAACAGGACTCCTTACCATGTGAAGTCCTGCAGTTAGGAGAAATGGAAGCCGTTTCACCAGCGAAGAGGCTGGACCCTGGTCACCTGGAGTGAAGATTTGCTGCCACCTCAATCTGTCAGTGAACATCAAAAGTTGCTCATATATTGGAAATGTGGATCCCACACTTTAGCACCATACAACAGTAGAGAAATTCAAAGCACCCCACTTTAGTGTGACACCACTGGCTGACACAACTAGCAGTAAAAATTTAGATTTACAGAGAACATTGAGAAATGGAGAACTCAGCAAAGAGAACTTACACATAAATGACCAAGCCTGCGTTCCTTCAGGACAAAACACACAACAGGTTGTATGGATTTGTAAGATGAAAATGTATTTGGGTAGGGCTGTAAAATATATATATATATAAAACAGCAATTGTGTTGGTGCACACGTGCGTGCCTTGGGTTTCTGTATGAGGCCAGTTAGCAATGTGGAGCTTCACTTTATATAGAAATGAAACTCAGAAACAGGTATGAAGCAGTCTACCTAACAGGCTGTCCCACGTCCACTCTGCTCTCTGCATAACATGAAAAATCAATGTAGAAGCCGGGTGTGGTGGCGCATGCCTGCAATCCTAGCACTTGGGAAGCTGAGGCAGGAGGATCGCTGTGAGTCTGAAACCAGCCTGAGCTACATAGTGAGTTCCAGGTCAGTCTAAACTACACAGCGAGACCCTGTCTCAAAAAACCAAGCAAACAAAAAAATTGATGTAAAATATACTCCCAGTAAGCCAATGTTAGTGACATCTGATGACCTAAAGTGTGAACTATCTGTGGATATTTAATTTAAATTTTGGATAATTTTTTCTAGACTCTCCCTGGATAAATGGTGTACTTTATTAGTAAACATTTACTGAAGTCATAAAATGTGCCAAAAGAATGTTTATATATATTGCCTCACTAAATCTACTCATAAAACTGGGAGGTAATATTGTTACCCTCATTTTCCAGATTAGAAATGAGATGCAGGGAAATGCAGTGACCTGGATGGAATGACAGCAAAGCTGGAGGTGTGAACCCCAAACACAGGCTCTGACTCCGGGTGCCGTGCTGCGAAGACTCAATTCAGACCTCACCAGAGCACCGCACCCAGCGAACTTGGGTATGCCGATAAAATCCGTACAAGATAGCTGATGGTTTGCGTCTGAACAATTTGTAGACCTACTGGAAGTTTTTAAAATATTTAATTAATCATAACATCAAATTGTGGACTCTACTACAGAATATACGGTAATTTTACCGCGTAAGATAACGTTGGTGAGCTAAGTTCACATCAGCTGGATGGATTGGAACATTTCTGTTATCCGGGTGCACGTCTGCAAAATGCTTGCATATTCTCATGACATCACCCCCGAAGAAAAGCTGTGAAGAGGGAGGGGGCTCCGGGGTCCTCCCTGTGAGCTGGAGTCCACCCCAACCATGCACCCACGCACAGACCGCATGGTCGTCAACCAGAGTGACCTGATGTCGTGGCAGTTTTACCTGAACATCGGATGCACACCATTGTCTCTGTTACTTAGTAACCGACAGACCACAAAAGCAAGAGTGAGCTATTGCGTTACCAAACTGTTAGGCACTTTACAATTATGTGAAGAAGAATGGGAGTAGCCGTGTTCCTGCCAGAGAGGTGGGGGTGAGGGCACTTGGGCAGGAAGTGGCCCTGGGAAGCCGGGCACTGAGTGAGGAGAGGGCCCAGGAAGAGAGGAACAACAGCTAATCATACCGAGACCCTCCGCGGGACTGAAGATGGAACTGTGCGGCCTTTATCCATACATTCCTGGGGACCAAAAGTTTCAAGTTCCTGCACTGCTGATCTGGGCTTACGCATGCTACAAGCAGACTTTCAGGAAACTCTGGTCCAGAAAAGTGGGTCAAGCCTCGAGCTTGCATCAGAGATGCTGTCCTCGCATGGGATGGTCACCTGGGCTGCCTCGGAGTCAGAGATGGCTGGAAGACGCGGGGCCGGGCACAGAGTGTGCTCAGAATCAGCTATCCGTGCACATGCACCAGCCGTAATGAAAATACGTGGTGTGTTTAAAGTTTATAGATTTTTTTACAGTAAAAGACAAATTGCTATTCATCTACATCCAAATACCCTCCCTTGCTACAAACACACTCATTCCACCTTCTCACCTCTCTCTGAAGCAGCTCTGGAGTCCTCTTTCCTGAAAGTCTCTAGGGCACTGCGGCTGCCTCCATGTCCTGAGTCACCGCAAAATGTTTACCTTTCATAGCCATTTTGACCTTGGAGAATGGCCAAGGGTCACCCAGTACCGGATCTGGTGACTAAGGTGGGTGAGAACACATCATACTGTTTCTGTGAACTGCCTTTCTGTTGGATGGTGCTCAGCAGCAGCATTCTCATCACACCAGAAGAGAGGACGTCTGCGAGGCAAGAGCCCTGGGACAAACGTGTTTGAAGTAAGGGGGGATAATGTAAGGCATACTGGTGGCAATTTACTGTAGTACATTTTCTTTTTGTGTAAGCACATGCTGTGTTTTTATCATATTTTGTATGGTTACCTTTTCCCAGTGGGACAAGTAACTTCATGTAAAGAAAGGTAGATTTGTCTAAGGGCAAACAGAGAGCTGTGAAGTCAGCCGGGCTATTCAGGACTCAAACTACAATTGCGCACTCACTATGCCTGCTGTCTAAGGACTGGCTGTACATAATGAATTTACTGTGCTAAAACTGGCCACAAGGAATTCTGTACGCTTGAAGTCCATAATTTGATGTTTTGAGACATATGCATATATACACATGAACATATGCGGATTTCTACTTATACTGCGAATCACCACAATCAAGTCAATAAGTACGTGTCTCAGTCACCTTCAGTCCACTTGTAATTTTTAGATGTCATAACGATCACATTCCATTATTGTTGCTTTTAGAGCAATGCCTATTGTTATTGTACAGGGCTGGTGAGGCAAGTGGAATAGCCACTGACTTCCTTTCTCAGTAAAACTATCTATCTCTCCAGTCCCACCTACTCATGAACGGGAAAGGTGAGGTGGTCCCAGGCATCAGGTCAGAATCTTGGTCCTCTTTCCCAGTCAGGAGCCATGTGGCCTGGGGCACCCAGGCTGCTAACCACACTGATAACGCACTCTCTGGCCAAGGGAACTGTTACCGCCTTTGTTGCTGGAGTGAGCTCAGCCTACCTAACATGGACACAAGCTCTGAGAACACAACCTGATTCTTACATTTGTCGTTTGACAAAGGTACTTCACAGAATTCGTTTTTTTTCTTTTTGTACACAAACTATAGTAATGGTTATCAACTCGGCGTCAGAGGTACTCGGGACTTAAAGGACTGCTGAGCTCCATTCCAGGATAACTCCATCAGAAACTGGGATCCAATGATTTCCAAGAAGCTCACCGAGGGCTCAGGTGCACTAGAAAATGGGGGAAATAGCCCTAGAGGGGCTCATGGAACACTGAGAATTGTGTAACCCCTTTCTCTCATCTTGTTTCTCTCTCTCTCTCTCTCTCTCTCTCTCTCTCTCTCTCTCTCTCTCTCTCTCGCTGGTTATGGGATTGAAGCCCGGGCCGCTGTAGTGAGCTGCACCCTCAACCTTTTTAACAACTTGATTTTTTAATTTCAAGACAGGCTCACTAAGTCACTGACCTGCCCAGGCTGGGCTTCACGCTTCTCCCGCCTCAGCCCCGCAGAGCTCCCAGAATGCATAGGCCACCGTGGCCAGCGTTTCCACTCTCCCTCTAAGGGTGCTCCACCCACTCACCTTGGCTCCACCTCTCTTAACTAAACCCCCAAACCTTCCTGTTCTGCTACCATCAGGATGGGGATTAGGACTTCAACTTTCAGCTGAGGGAGCACATTTCCATGACGTAGAAAAAGAATATAGACATTTTTACTTCCAGTGACGGGAGATTCACTCACACGCTGGTGCAAGGAATGCTGCAGAGGATTCCATGCATGCTTTACTCGGTTCCTTCGGTGGAGACGCCTTGCAGAAGTGTCACACGATGTCACGAGTACACTGATACCTGGAGTCGTCCTCTCTCTCAGTTGCATTTTAACAGCGCATCAAAATTCCTCCGCCCCCATCTCTCCTTCACCTTGGATTCTTTCTTCACCATTAACTGAGCTTTGTGACAATTCCTGAAGGATGGCCTCAGCTTCCAAAGGTTGCCTCACGCAGCTGGATTTACCAGTGTGCTTACTGCTTAATGGTTCAATTTGCTCCCCATACAGGAAGTGACGGCAGCTACAGCAGGTAATTTACTTCCACACAACAACAGCTTTAACGAGGGTTGCTTTTCTTTGGCCCTGAGAAAGTGTTCATGAATAAATGGAAGAATGTGGTTGCTCAAACACCTTTGAGGTAACGGTGTCCCGAGGGAGAGTCTACCAAAGCTCTGGCGTCTGTGGAGTCCTGGGACGCTGCAGGAGATGGGGTGCTCTGGGGGTGCCCCTGGCTGTATGCTTCAAGCCCCCGCTGCATTCCATGCCTTGTGCTGTGGCTCTCAATGATGAGGGCAGACCTGAGGGCCTGGCGCTATTTTATTTCCTTATTTGAGATGTTGGATTGCTAAGATTGTCAGGGCAGCATTCTGATTCTGGGCAGGGAGAGGAATATCAATATTCAAGACTGTTTAAAGCCTGCTCCTTATTTCTACATCATAGCAGATGAACGATCCATATACAGGTTTCATGTTTAAAACGTGAGGACCAAGCGGCATCTCACCTTCCCTTAGTCTCTCCTCCCAGCTGGCACCAGTGATCCCTATTCAGTAGGATTTGCACCATCACCCCCTCCTTCTTCTGCCAAGAGCGCCCCTCCTGTGTGGCTGCCAGATTCAACAACTTGTGGTTAAACAGAAGCAAACCAAAAAAACAGAGCCACAATATTTTCCCCCAAAGAATAGTTATCTATTTGAATTAACTGTTTAGAGAGAAAGTGGGCAATAAAGGGAAAAAAAAAACCAACATTTTGAAAGCATTTTTAATATTTTTTACATTTCTATGGAAAAATAGTCAAGATTCGTGGAGATACATGTGCTCCACTTCTTCAATTTTAGGTGGAAAAGAAATTTTCGTGC